TACGATGAACTCGATGTCCAGCTCTCTCTCTCTTCTTAATCTATCCTCTGATTGCATTGTTGGAGGTCTGAATTAATATGGTTTGTCTGCTGTTATCTTAGAAAAGCTTGCTGAAACGGTAGACATTTTATTTTGACGATGTACACTTTTCATACAAGCATACAGTTAGGCTTGCCTCGACTTCTTAAAAGGAAAAGGGGGGGAGAGGAGCTTAACTAATCTTCCGTAAAATGTTGCCATCCGAGCGGATGAAGTTTCGCCTGGGCCTTCATTTCCAGTCGTTCCATTTCGAATGATGATACTGAAGCGAGTTCGTGAAGCTGTGGCGCATTCAGCTTGCTTAAAATGCCCTTTTCATAGTTCAGTGTTGCAAGTTTAGAGATTTTAACTTTAATCTCCTGCATCAGTGTTGATGTCCTTTTGATACAGTCATACCTGCACCTTGTGACATATTTTCGGCCTATTCTCGACATCACAAAAATGTCTATTTTACACTCTGTTTTGTGCACATATTTTGTGCCAATACATGCTGTAACTTGTCCAGCTGTTGCCATGTCTTCTCTCCGTGTGTCTGTGTTTGCGTGTGTCCGCCTGCCTGGGCTTCAGGGGAGTACGGCCTGGAGGTGTATGCCAACGAGCCCAGCGAGGGCGATGTGTTCACACACATGTGCCAATACCTGCTGCACTACGAGGCTCCGTCCCACTCGCGGACCGGCTCGTCCGGTTTCCCTCAGGCCCCGAAGACCACCGGCACCTTTGCCCGGTTCCCCGGCTCCACACCCTCCGCGGCCGGGCTCGTCAACAACTCCACGGGCAACGGACACGCCCATCCGGCCTGGTACCAACTTCCTGTGCCCGCGGACGCGACGGCCCAGACCGCCTCGTCCGCGTCCGCGCCGCAAGCCGGTCACACGCGGCCGGCCTACTCGTCGGCCGGCTTCATCATGCCGGCCCGGCAAATGTACAACTACGGTCCTCATGCCCCGCCCATGGGACAGCTTCCCAGACCGTATGCCCATTCACAGTACGCCAGCACAACTACGGATGCACAGACCTTCCCTCGCAACCAGACAGGACAGATCAGAGACCACCAACAAAAGGTACCATATCTCAATACTCCTTTTCGCCTGTTTTACATCATACCCCCCCTCTCTCCCGGCCGAAGTGTCTTGCTAATAGTCCCACAACAACGTCACATAAGCTGGTGTGGAAGTGATAGTTGGATGATCCTACAACAAAGTGAGGAGACCTTCGCTCAAGCTTTCTTCCCAAAATGTCTTCTAATCCGGCCTGGACTGCATGCTCAACTGGCTCATGTCTCGTTAGCACCACTAAATGTACTCTAAATTGGGTTGTTTACGCCAAATAGTACATAATCACATATGCCGATGATTCAAATGGCAGATGCTGCTACCTGCAAATTCCCACGCTTGTAGCCTCTACTCGTGTCGACGTTGACAAAGTTATTATTCAAGATTTACGGATAGTCTTGCAACCTACTTACTAGATATATAGTAGTATAATAGATTACATTTACAAATGCAATTTCGCCTTATCGACAATAGGAAAAAGTATATTGCCAACGGAGTCGAAGCAATGTGAAATCCACTGACATCTTGCGGTGTCTACTCGTCTTATTGTTGGAGACTTACACTCTCCTATATCGTCTTATTTACGATCTCCCAATAATCCTGAAATCTACCTCCTATTTAATGCTATTTAATGCTGTTTCTTGCTTGACCTCCTCTACTATCCTTAACTCAGCCATCGAATCTCTTCCCATGGGCACAAATTGGCCTGGCCCAATCAAAGGTATCACCCCTACTTTGATCACAGTCTCTTTCTGTATGAAAATAGTTTGACCTCGTTTGCACAACTTGGTTGTGTTGTCAGACCAACCTAGAGCTATCAGAAGCTTTAACGGCTTCTCCAGTTAAGCCTTTTATGTCGGTTAAGTTTATCTTCGCTCTATTTCGTAAAGTATAGCTTCTTGCTCTGATGATGTCTGTGAGAGTAGAGACGAAGGCTTGGCAAAGGCTCATTGCGGCCGAAGATTTCTTCGCACAATACAACAGTCCTCCCTACGCTGTAATCCTCCTTCGGTTTCCGGTGAGACAACATCAAGAATTCCTTTCAACCAAATTTTCGTTCAAAATGCAAAGTCTTGTCACACTAGATCACTAAGAAGTTCTTTGAAACCCTTTTGTTTTTCATATCCTCCAACTGGTCTTGTCGGTTCTAGCACCAGGATGATAATGGAAATGTACTAAATTACCGATCCGATGCTAGAAAGTATCATGACCACTATGACAGAGGACTCCAGACAAGATGTGTATACAACACTACAGACAAAACATTGTCTGGCCACTTTTATACTCTACTCTACTTGATGCCTCATGACTGCATGTATAATGTTGATGGCAACATAATCATGTAACTTTAACAGGGCATTGTTTCAAGACTTTGTTTCTTTGTTAACTCTAGTCCTCTTCTTTTACTTCTCATTTGAGATTACATGGCCGACCTAGTCGTATGCTATCGCGCAATCATTGCAGTTTTAACCATTTAGTCAAACTGTGAACTCTGAGAATACCTGAGGCCCTTTTGATTATGTGATGACCATGGTATGAAGAGAACTGGGATTGTGGAAGGCGACAGTCTCTTTGGATTAAATGGAGGAACGGCTGGACTTTGAGACCGCTTTTTGGAATAGTGGAGAACCTATTTTGACCCATTTTCGAAGTTACCTTGGTTTGACTGAATTTGGCTTAGCAACATTTGAATTTATCTTCCTTTAGCTTAAAAAATCCCATCCCTGTCATTAATTGATATTTTAATTAGCACACTTGCTAGTTTGTCTTGTTTCTTTGACCAACTCAATTATATTGCCTTCCGATGCTCTTTCATTTTTCCCGCGAGTAGACTGTCTGGTTGAATGGCACTTTGTGTAGTGACTCGTCCAGTTGCTAGGCCGATTCAGCCTATATTTTCAGCGTCTTTTTCTGATTTTTTGCTGAGTTAAAATTAATTCCTTTTCCCCACTCATTTATAAATGAAAGCTGGTTTTCGACGATTTCGTTTGTGAATTAGTGTGATTCGACTCTCCATTTCACAAGGAAAGTTAATTGGAAAGAATTCGTGAATTAGTCTCGTCGCAAACGGAAACAGCAGTGACGACAATGATTGGATTAGGTCAAGTAGCTCCTGACTCAATGTCCTGTCATTCCGATGAGCCCATGTCAAGGAATCTTAGTTTACAAAAAATGCATCGACATTTAAACAAAATTTGGGCTTAGACGAATCTCTTTATGAGTTAGGGTGATTGTACATTTCATTTCGAGGGAAAAATTGGTTGGATGGAATTTGTGCGTTGGTCCCATCGACAACCGAACAAAGCTAGATGGTCATCCTCCTTCGAGTATCGATGAGACGAACTCAAGAATTATTTGCAACCAGTTTTTCCTTCGAAATGCATCGTCGAGTTGCAGTTAGCTTCACTGTTGACTTAGGCCGTATCTAAATAGGATAAACTGCGAGTCTGATAGGATTGGCTAGAAAGTGGAGGATAAATTCACCAATTGATTATGGACATTTCAGCAAAAAAATTACTGGAATAAGAGCTGTATTCACCCCATTTCGTTCCTGCAATTATATGAATAAGTCTCACATTTCCATTGAATTCCACATAGCCTTGCTTCCCAAAAGGTATTATCATGCTGAATGTTCTGCAGTTTAGACCTCACGTGAACTGCTCCCATCGCACCTCCAGCGGGACTCGAACTCGTGTTGTGGTAGTGTAGCGTATAGTCTATCCACTAGGCCACACTGTCACGAGGGCCCTTGGGTCACAGGTCAGATGTGAATTTAAAACAAAGCCAGACCTTTTCATATAAAACTTTATGTGGTGAGATCGTAGATGAATGAAAGTTGTGTTTGCTATAAAAAAATGAAGTACATGCTTATTTTTCGCCTCACGCTTCCCTTCAGTTTCACACAACCTCACTTCTCAAAGCCGAAAGTGCAGTGCAACTTGGTCTAGCTGAGCTGAGAATACCTTTTGGGGAGAAAAGTGTGTTAAATCCTTACTCGCATCATAGTTGGAAAATTCAAATACCAGCTTGAACGAAATTGGGTGAATGCAACTTGTACATCGGATCTGTTGGTGGTTGCGAAAACCTACTTATGAAATGGAATGCGGGAGTTTTGACGTACCATCTGGTTCGTTTTAGGAGACCACTGGAAGGGATTGTTAAGTAAGCCGAACGAGGATTGCCTTATGAATCGTGCTGAATTATCGTGCGTCATGTGGATTTATAGTCACTATGCCTTATCTTAAAGCGTGATCTTCTCTTCTGACGATGTCTATCACATGGCAGACGCAAATTCAACCCGAATTCCTCGGTTCGCGGAACTGTGTGCCCAGTGTTTGTTGGCGCAAATCTTCGGACACAACTTCCACTTCCCGTGAGACCAATTTGCGAATTCCTTACGCTCTACTCCTCAAACGGCAACATGAATAAATTATGGAGTTGTCGAAATTAAATGTTTCCTTTGAATGATTGCCTTTAGACACTGGCTGGAGTGGATTTGTGCCATTTCAATCCAATTTGGTGAGCTTTCGTCTTGCTCTCCTTGACAGACATCGTCTCAAACTTTGACCTAAAATTAAAAGCTCTCTGCAATCCTAACCACATCATATAATCTAAT